GAAGTAAATGTTATTGTTAAAGTTAATGGTGCTCTTGCCTCTTTTAGATGACGTTAGCTCTGTCTGGAATCAGCTATCCTTGCCATCGCCTCAGTGTTTGTCGAAGGTCTTCACCAGCTAACGCCCAGGAACCAACAGATGAGGTACATAGGCGGAAACAAACAAACCCAGTCCTCACTTCTCTACAGTACCTATCCAGTAGTTACCTGCATGTTAACCCACTCTAATATAAAGATTTGTTTCTTTAGTGTACAGATGTCCATATGATCAGTGACAGTGAGGGGGACGATTACGAAGATGCGTCAGAATTTGGGGTGGATGATTCAGAAATGTTTGGAATGACCTCGTCAAGCTGTCGGAAATCACCTATGAGTATGTATAAAATATTTTGCTTCAAAACCCTAATCAGGCTCTTATTTTTACTCCACAATCATAGTTATGGTTTGAAAACAAGCATTCAGAGTTTGACAGATTGAGTCCTTTATCTTGCAGTGCCAGAAAACAGTGAGAACGAAGCGGATGCCTTACTTTACTTTACTGCCGAATTTTCTTCAAGGTGGGCATCTTGTCAGTTGATGATAGTAAGATCAATCTACAGAGGAACCCATCCTTTATGGAGGTACTGTGTTAAACAATGAACTGTCTGGTTGTTATCTGTGTATCAGATATGGAGAGACCCACCCGATGTTCTATATTGGGTCTTTGGAGGCAGCGTCTCAAGAGGCCTTCTACGGCAAAGCCAGAGATGTAAGTAAAACGTTCTGCTGTGAAGATCTCTTGGAAATGGTTTTGATTAAATGTGATACTGTATTTGGTTAAATTAGACTTTGACCTTCAGCACTGATATCATTCTTACTTCATATGGTCTTCTTCCTAGTCTGGTGAGAAGTTGTCTTTAATTAAGATAACATGGAATAATCATTCTAAATTCACTTGGGGACAGTACTTGTATTTTCTTTTTGTTACTGAGCTGGTGGGAACTTAAGAAGTTTTAGTTGGTACTATTACTAACGTCTTGACAGCTGACTTGCTTTCAAATTACAACAGGGCTACATATTTTATGTATATATATATATATATATATATATATATATATATATATATATATATATATATATATATATATATACATATATATACACCCACGAATACAGCATTTCCCCAGTTTAAGGTAGTTGATGGGAATCTGTTCTCTCAGATCTCTTCTGCTTTTGCTGGAGAACATTACTGTCTTTGTTGTATCAAAAAACAAACTGTATCACATTTTCACAAGCAAGTTCCAGGCCTGACAGCCGTCAGTTTAATAGAACCTATAAACAACTAACATAAAACCTATTGGGGAAAATTCAGTCAGTTAAAACATTAGATTATGGGCCAGGAGGGAAAGAAAGTCAATGACTTCTTACATCCAATAAAGGTTTAGAGAGTTATTTTCCAAACTTTAGGACTCTGCAAACCCCAGTTGGCATACTACAGCCACTAATAAAGACAACATAAAACCATGGTGATACTGGCCAACCCAGATTAGACCGGAGAAGTTTGGAGAAGATGACAGAAGCATTAAATTGCTGATCACTTCTGTGGAGGAATGCTGAAGCCTAAGAACTGTTTGCTAGGAACGAGCTTTAATTTTTGATGTGATTGTTGCTCTTCGGCCACTTTCATGGCAGTATGCTCCATAAGGAATATATGGTGTGATGATCATGAGGGCAGGGTTTTGAATGCTACCTGTCTCTGTTAAGGCTGTTTGGCTATGTAGGTAGCCTCTTCTCACAGGTATTAGGTACAAATAGAAGAGTTCTCATCTCTTCCAGGGAGCATGCAGCACATTTAATAGTATGGTGTTGATAGAGGGTATTAGCTTGACTCTCTGGACCCTGATATAGCAACAGACCATGGGAAATATCAGGCTGAGAGACGGACAGAAAGTTACAGATAGCAAACAGCAATCACCCGTCAGCTCACATATCAGTCAAATGTGAATTTTTTTGCTATTAGATGAAACTTTTAAGGATGCTCTGTGTGGCTGGACCTGGAAGGTAAGAGTGAGTTCAGCAAAGAGTCCAACATCAACTCAGGGATAGTTTTCATACAGAGATTACTAATATTACAAATGTTAGGAATGGAAATTAGAGAAAGACTAATACCGATATTAGTATTTTGTTCTTGTATGGTTATTTGCCAAAACTTGCATGGCTTTGCTGATTCACTGCATTTAGATCACAAGAAGCGCATGCATTGCTGCTCCCTCTACCTACTATTCATTGATTTGTGAATGTTTAATTAAATTGTTAATAAAGTTGTTGTTTTTTTATGACGACTTGCATTATTATTGTGCAACACAGATTGGAGCTCCATGTCCAAGTACTTGATGTCGGCATTGCTGTTGAAAATCCTGTATCAGTCAAACTGTAACATAGATATGATGTATTTATTGATCCCAGTCATTATCAGCTATAATACAGTGAAAAAGGATTTACTAACTCCTGACAGTGCCTAAAGCAAGGCTTAAGCTCAGAGGGGATTGAACGTTTTCTGTTACAGCTCCAAAACTTTGGAATGGATTCAATTCAGTTTATTTATATAGCGCCAAATTCACAACACATGTTATCTCAAGGCACTTTACAGTTCAACCAGAATTGATACAAAGTTTTCTATCTAAGGAAAACCAGTTGATTGCTTTGACTCATTGACTCATTGACTCAAATACAATCCCTCACACTAAGCATGCTTGTAGCGACAGTGGAGAGGAAAAACTCCCTTTTAACAGGAA